GGAGATGGTTGTTGGAGCAGGCTGGGCGTGCGGGGGGCTCTGCTTTGGGCTCCTCCGAAAGAAGCACAAAGTGCTGCTCCATTTTTTTTAGGGGCGTTAATAATGTTATTTTTTTAGGGCCCTGTAGCGCTATTATTTTTAAGGCCGTGTTTTTGCGCTTAGAGGATGCACATAGAAGCTTTTCCTTTTTTTTTTTTTTCCTTCTTAGTTGCAGAGGTATTTAAAAAAGAAAGAAAAGGCTGTAAAAGCCGGTAACCGAATTGCCCCCAGCTTCAACGAGCACAAACCTAATGCGCACCTTCAAAGGCACTAGCAAAAGTTAAGAGAGGGAACAAAAAAATAATCCACAAATTGAAGGCACAGTTGAAGGAATAGTAAAGGAAAAAAAGTTGTCCTGAATTGGCTGGGGAACACTTGAAATTTCTTCTGGGCTGCAGAGCTGCTAGGTGTGGTGTCCTTCCCCCTGGCATCCATGCCCCGAGCTGGAGCAGATTGCTCGAATACATTGTTCCTGGAAAAACGCACCGCAGAGCCCCAAAACTCGCTTAATAAGAACTTCCAGAAGGATAAAAGTACCCCCCAAACCTCGGCTTACATCCTCCCTGCCTCCCCAGCTTGCATAAAGCTCCCGCTTACCAAAAAGGCTTGTTGCTGGGCTGATCTTACTAATTTTCTTATGTTCTTGCAGGGGCAGAGTAGCTGTTAGGAGGAGGAGGAAATCACGCACTTTCTCCCTGGCCAGACCCGGGGCAGTGAGGGGATCTTCCTTTGGAAAGTTGCAGGAATTGTGCGTGTTCCTGCCTGGATAATTTAGTGTAGTTAGTCAAATCAATAAAACCAAAGCAGAACAGAGCTGGGAGAAGGCTTTATGGGTTTGCCTTGCTGGACTGTTTCAGCTGCTTTCTTACAGTACTTTTTCTTATTATTTTTAATTCTGAGCTGCCAAACACGCCGTATTTATCAGTGATGTTTGGCTTTGCATTTCCTCCATCCATCCTACCATTGCACAGTTGTTTTGCTGCCTCTTTTTTTTTTTTTAATTAAGTTTTGGGAAGATGCAAAGTGCCAGTATTATTTGTAAGTGGGCCTCTACAGCATATGTACGTGATTTGTGTATACCCAAATGTCTGCACCCTTCTGGGTGTGCTGATAAGGGGACTCTGTGGTTCTGCAAGGGTACATACCTTTGAGAGACTTCATCAGATATATAAATCTTTTTAACATGTTGTGGGTGGTGGGGTAAGTAGTGTGAATGTTTGCCAGATGTTCACATCATCTTCGCGTGTAATTTCGGTTGGTAAACAGAAATCCCGTAACCGGCGCCTGATAGCAACAGCCCTTTATACAACTAGACCCTTGGCAAAATGATCGTATGGCTTAAGAGAAAATATAAAATCATGCTGTTTCTTTGCCTCAGCCGATTAAAATC